ACTATGAATTATTATACTTTACGTGTACTATGAATTATTACACTTTACGTGTACTATGAATTATTACACTTTACGTGTACTATGAATTATTACACTTTACGTGTGCTATGAATTATTACACTTCACGTGTACTATGAATTATTATACTTTACGTGTACTATGAATTATTACACTTTACGTGTACTATGAATTATTACACTTTACGTGTACTATGAATTATTACACTTTACGTGTTCTGTGAATTATTACACTTTACGTGTACTATGAATTATTACACTTTACGTGTACTATGAATTATTATACTTCACGTGTACTATGAATTATTACACTTTACGTGTACTATGAATCATTACACTTTACGTGTACTATGAATTATTACACTTCACGTGTACTATGAATTATTACACTTTACGTGTACTATGAATTATTACACTTTACGTGTACTATAAATTATTACACTTTACGTGTACTATGAATTATTACACTTTACGTGTACTATGAATTATTACACTTTACGTGTACTATGATTTATTACACATAGTGTTCGTATCGCAGGCAGTACGTTCCTTCATGATTCCTTTGACTTCAAAATATATTTGAAGATTGTTTTAAAGGGTTTAGTTTTTTTAGTAAACTACAGAAGGGTTGATTTTTTGTGTATTTTCAGATGCATCTTCATCAAACGAAGCAGTTCATCTTCAACAGCGACTGCGCAGTCTCAGTTCGGAATTGGTGACGTTACGGAACAGACTGCACGTGACAGATGCTGTCCCTCACGCAGAAGCAGGTAGATTACTTTAGGAACAGCGAGTTCGATTACGTACGAGTCCTAAGTATTATAGATGAACAAGGGTTTCCCGGTTGGTAAGCAGTAAGTTTAGAGTTTTACAACGCTAAAATCCAGGGTTCGGTTGCATGCGGTGGACAAATTCGCAGATTCCTGTAATTGTCACAAACACACAGATATATATGATCGTACTAGTTTGGACAGTTTGTTTGAGAATTATGAACTGATATATATTTGTTTTAGTTGAGATAACCGGAACATCTCCATGGTGAATAGATATAAGGAAGATTACGGAATAAAGTTGATTGATATCTCACATACCTTGCTAATGGAGACTCCCCCCACACACACGTGAGATCATACATATATTACTACTGGAACCCCCCACGTGAAATCACAAATACGATGCTAATGTAGACCCCCCCCAAACACACACGTGAGATCACACATATATTACTAGTGGAACCCCCCACGTGGAATCACAAATACCTTG